TTAGCTTTTTAACTCGCCATATCTTAATTACTCAATAATTATTGGTATGACTTATTGAAGACTTTAAACTATTTTAATTTGAATAATTATCATTAGAACCTAACTTAATTTAATATATAATGAATTTTCATTTTTATTCTTTAAGCAGTTATACATAAGGCAAGAAAATTCTTGGAAAATTTTTCTGACCTATATTCTTTTAAAAATTAATGACATCAATTGCAAATATGAGGCAAACAATAAAAATCCTATAAACGACATTCCTAACACTGACTTCCTCTATGCTTAGCAGGCCAGCATTAACGAGAAATAAAATTAATATATTCAACAAACATTTATTGAGTGTGTACTACGTGCCTAGCACTTTTTGAGGTACTAAATATACAGCAGTCACAAAACAGAAAAAAAAATATTTCTGTATTAAATTTATAGTTCAGTGAGGAGAGATACATAAATAACAAACAAAAAAATTAGTAAAATGTATAAAATGTCAGATGAAAATAGTTTAATTCAGAAAAATAAAAATTCAAATAGAGGACCAAGATTAGAGATAAAGTGGCGAATTTAAATCAGAGGTCAGGAAAAGTGTCACTAGGAGATCACATTTGAGGGAAGACAAGGCTATGTAAGGAGGCAAGAAACATGGGTATCTGGGGAATGTAAAACAAGTATAAAAATATGATTGAATATGGAAGCTTCTTAAAACATTACTTATGGAGGTAATTTTTTATTATTTAGAATTTTTTATCTTTTCAATTGAGAGAGGGATCTCAGAACTTGAGACCAGCTTGAGTCACTGTTAAGGTTTGAAGCTTTTAGTATACATAATATGAAGAATTAAAATTCTTCTTCAGGCAGATTCTTCTTCAAACAGGATTATAAGAATTGTGATAAAATGTAAGCAATTATATCAAACTAATAGTTTTAATCCAAAATAATAAAATGAAATTAAATTATATTATTCATCACATATTTATAAAATGTTTATTTCAAATTAATTCATCATGTACTACAAGTGGTGTGGATCAGAAAGAATCACACAAGTGTACGGTTGTAGGCAGAACCTCCTTTTTTCTTTACTTCTGTCAATGTATCTTTATTATTATATTCATGAAGTCATTTAACAATTATCTCAAAACAAGTGGCCAATGTAAACATAACTCCTGAGTAAATGATATTGTAGTCCCCACCTCCAGCCCCTCAAAGTTCTTATATTTATTGAACTTGGTTTATTACATCATGACTATATATTTTTTAAGAAGGAAAATTTCTTGGAACATTCCTATATCTTAGGTTCACTGAATTAAATTTTAAAATAATAACATGTATTTTAAAAAATTTTAAGAGTGACACTAAAATGCTTAGTAAATGGAAATGACAAAACAGTTGTAATGAATGGAAAAATATGGTCACTGGAAATAATAAAATTTACAATTGAAACGGAGCAGCCTATACCAACTATTGAATGTTTTTGATCTAAATCAAATATAAAAAAGCCTCTTGTTAACTACATAACCATATGATAATCCCCAATTTTTAAATCTACTGATGATATGAGTTATTTTGAAAATTAAAATCACCATCATTACATCCAGCTAGAGCTAATATCTGATTCTTGCCCTCTTTTGGAACATATTTTCCATGAATTCTTTCATGATCTACTCTTGCTTTCAGCGAATAAATATAAAATGGTTGAGAGGAAGGTGAGCAATTAAAATGTAATTTATTCTAATTCCTGCCAGTGTTGATTTTCTTTTTAAAAATAGAAGTTATTTCTCTGAAATAAATCAAATTAAAGAAACATTTTGGATTTGATTTTTAAGTGCTATAAGGAAAATTTTATTCAACAGCTTTCATTATCATCAAGTCTTAGAAAGTATTTAGCTTCATTAAATCCTAACTTTTCACATTAAAAAAATAGTAAAATACAACTCCTTGAGCAGCATCAATGATTTATAACCCTGGCTTCAATGTGGGAGGTACATTAGTTGCCCAGTCTTCACATTTGAGTTGTTTTCTAGGGCATTGCTACTTTTTGTTAAAGCTCCACTGGCCTAGGGCACGCTGGCTGGTACTAGGAAGATGTTTCTGGTGAGCATCTTCATTATATGATTATGCTGTAAGAATTTGTTACACAAAATGCAAACCAGCAACATGAGTCCCCTGAGAGTTTGTTAAAAATGCAAAATCTTAGTCCCATCCCAGATCTGCTGAATAAGAATCTGCGTTTTATATTGCCAAATTATTTGAATGAACTTTCAAGTTAAGAAGTATTGTTCTAGTATCTTCCCTTCCTTTGGAAGGCATTGTTCTTCTCAGTTCCTGGAGATAATCAAGCTCTGGGAGACATGTGAAACTGAGGTAATAAAACAAAACAAAACAAAAACCACATAATGCTAACAGTTTAGATTATTTAAATATGATATACAGTTCTGTAGATTGAAATATTGATTGTAATATTCAGCTATTCTGTCAAGGTAGTGAGGTTATATAAACAACTAGATTATAATCAGTTTCATGTTTTCTTGGCCATCATGGGATTAGAATGAGAAAAGTTACTTGCTTCAGTTAGGATGTGTGATGCATTCTTTACCACGCTGACAGTCTTACCTATGGGAAATAGTTGAAGCCTCTTAGCTGCAACACCCTGCTCTTATCTCCATGATAAAGAACTAGACACAATATACTGGCAGTGATTTCTCTGGGGACAAAAGTTTCAAGGGCTGTTCCCACTTTTGCTTTATAATAATCCAAAAATTTGAAATCTAAATGCTCCAAAATCCCAAACATTTGAGCTCCAACATATGCCAATAAGTGGAAAATTTCACCACTAACCTCATGTGACAGGTCATAGCCAAAACTTTTGTTTCATGCATAAAATCATTTAAAATCTTGTCTAAAAATAGCATCAGCTATGTGTTTAAGGTTTATATGAAACATAAGTGAGTTTTGTGTTTAAACTTGGTTCCCATCCACAAGATATTTCATTATGTTTATGTATATATTCCAAAAGCCAAAAACAATTTTTAAAAGAATCTAAAACCTGAAACATGTCTGGTCACAAGCATTTTAGACAAAGGATACTCAATGTATAGCTGTTTATTTTCTTGCTTTGAATGACTTACCCCACCCTTTTATACCTCTTTCTTTCCATATGTTAATACATTTAAGCCTGCTACTTCCAAATTGTGCTGAACTAAGACTTTCTCTGTCTCTCTCAATAAGAATGAGCAAAAGCACTTTGTGGTAGTTTATATCTGTAAAGGATAACTGCCTTTCTCTTAGTCTCTAATTGTTGGAAAATCTTTGCTCAAGCTTCTGAGTACTAGCTAAATATTCCAGTACCAGAAGGGGATATGCTATCTCAGTCATTTCAGTAATGTCTGACTGCATTATGAACTGTCACTTGCTGAATTTTAAATGATGGCCGAAATAAACATAAATGAAATTGTTTAATATCTCACTTCAAGAGTTTAGTGACAATGGCAAGAAAACTATAAATTGGATCACATTCTTGAGTTTTTCTGAAAATCTTTTAAAAGTAGACTTCATAATCAAGCCATTGCATCAGAATTTTGGGGGTTAAGGCCTAAGTGTTAATATTTTTTAATACTACCCAAGATATTTTGATATCTAGTAGCATAAGGAACATTGTCCAGAGTATAGCTAAAAATTAATTTCTAAAACAGATAACTCAGTAGGTTATTTCCTTAGTTCGGGATTACTATAATTATTAAAATCTACCACATAACTTCTTTAGTCAGATCATGGGCTACAGGAGAAAACTGGGTATCTTGATATTTTTTTTTTAAGAATTTATATTAAATTAGTTTAAAAACATTTCAAAAGAGTATTTTCAAATTAAATTTAAATGATAATCCAACTCATCTAACTAGGAATATTATTCATTATATTTTGCATCTTTCTAATATTAAGTTGTGCAGAATACAGGGCAGGAAACATAATTTCCTCCTCCACCCTTCATGAGTTCTTAGGACTCTCTGTAATGAATGACAGATTAGCAAGAGAAAAACAGAAGTTTAGTAACATGTATACCTCCTCTATAGGAGGTTACCCAAAGAAGTGACTAAATTTCTAGAGTAAATCTCAAAGAGTTTTCTTAGACACCAAATATAAATACCATTATTCTCTGAAACAAAGGAAGAGGCTGTTGAGAAAGGCCTTGTTAAGTGAGATGGCCAGGAAAAGCAAAACAAAGGTAAGGTTTGTTGTGCAGTCTTAAGTCAATTCTTCTCCACTGATTAAGAGTCTCAGGAGATTTAGTCATCCTTCTAAAGAAGAGAAAGGGAGAGAAAAAGAGAGAGACCTTTACTAATGGACAGTGCCTTTATAAATGTAGATTTCTCTTACAGAAAGGTGATCTAGCCTTGTTTTCAGAGTTACTCCAATGTCTGCAATTTCTCAAAATAACCAGCTCAAAATAATCCTGTGCACTGCAGGAGGCCAGAATTGGAGTGGCATATTCTGGCCTCCTAAAGTCTTATTTCAGGATGCCATGTTCTGAGCCCTATCAGGAATTAAAAGAAGAATCTATATTTGTGGTGATATATAACATTTTAAATATTTTATTCTTCTTTTAATTCTACATAAATAACCATCAATATTATTTCAATATTTTATTAAATATAAAATATATATCAAATTAGCTTAAAATGACATAAGGAGTTAGTAAGGGCTTTATTTCCCTACCTGAAAAGTATATGGGACAGTTCCCAGCTGTATAGTCTGAAATCATGGAGCAAATATTTGACATTTGGTGGTATATAATTAATTTTATACTTATGGTTATTAAAACAGCTTGTTATATAAAAATGTAAACAAATGTTCGAAATTTTTATCTGCACAAAGTGATGTTATCATACTCTTTTCTCAAATTTCAGACATTACAGAACATTCTGATATGATGTATGTTACCAGTGATCCAAAGCTAAAAATATCTCCAGAAATAATTGTTGTAACTTTTTGTTTGTTTTGGCCAGGGGTATGGGGGCTATATTGCATCAATGATCTTAAAGTCAGATGAAAAACTTTTTAAATGCGGATCCGTGGTTGCGCCTATCACAGACTTGAAGTTGTATGGTGAGTACTTGCTACAGACCGACCTGATATAATGTATTGATTTGTGGAAAACCAAATCCCAATGCAGAGGAGCTCAACTGAGCTCATTTATCATGTGTTATTAGAGCCTGTTTTGAGCTGGTTATCACCTCCTTGATTCAATCAATTTTACTGAAGCATGGCAATTAAATCTGAAATGAACAAAATTAAATAATGAATTGCGCACGTCAAATGGTTTTTAGTTTTAGTATTCTTAAAATTCTGTTTTCTTGGGTCACAGCCTCAGCTTTCTCTGAAAGATACCTTGGTATGCCATCTAAGGAAGAAAGCACTTACCAGGTAACCAATTTTAAAATAACAATTAGTTTTGTTATAAAAATTCAGTCAAATTACTTATTTAGATAGATCTGTAGATCCACATGTTTCTGTTTTCCTTCGCAGGCAGCCAGTGTGCTACATAACATTCATGGCTTAAAAGAAGAAAATATATTAATAATTCATGGAACTGCTGACAGTAAGTATTATACTTGCTGCTACTGTTTGATGGGGTCTGACCTTTGACAAAGAAATACATCTAAGGTCTTTCTTGCGAGGGGCCTTGTAAACCTTCTGGAGAGCAGAGAGTGGCACAGAGAATCAGATGCATGATAGGAAGTGGGAAGAAGGAATCCAGGGCTAAGAGGAGAGGAGGCCATGAGCCTCAAATGGCAGCATTGTTCAGTAAAACCTTCTGTGAGGACAGAAATATTCGATCAGTGTTATTGAGCATGGAAGCCCCTGGCCACTTATGGCCATATTGTGTTTAGTGTGACTAACTGAATTTTTTAAAATTTAATTTTAATTAATTTTAACATGAATAGCCACATATGGCTAGTGGCTATAGCAACTGTGTTATTCAGCACACCTCAAATATTAATAGGTACCAACTTGGAAAATAGAAGCAAAAGATGCAAGCACTGACATGAAATTCTGGTGAGGTTACCCTCCTAAATGAAGTTAAAACAAAAACTTTTTTAAAAGACACTTTCATATCACCTCCCATTTTTTTCATCACTTTAAACACTGGAAATAGATGTAATTGAAATTAGTAGTAATAAATGATGTTACTTTATGTCTACATGAAGCTTTTAGGGATCAAAGAATTCAAATTTTTATTATTCTCTATGATGCCTTATAACAGAAGGCTGAGCATTTATAGCCTTATTCATGGATGAGGAAAGTCGATTTCAAGAAAGAAACAGATATATACAAGCCTACCTGGCAAGTGAGCCAAGAGAGTCAAATTCTTGAATCAGTATTTCCTGAATCTTGAACTTGTTATTTTTGGTCCACCCTGCCTCTATGCTTTTAACCCATTTTACAAAGGAAATCACTAAAGAGTTTAATAGCCAAGAGTATACTGCCTCTCCAACTTAACTTTCAAGCATGTCAATCTGTGCTTAAATCAGACATTAAATCCAAGCTAATATATAAATGGGGAAGAAGAAACAAATCTCCCTTAGGAAGAATTCCAAATAGTTTACGTAGATACCCCCACTCCAGGAGGCAGACTATCTCCTTCCTCCTTAGAATAGGTTTCACTTAATGATTTACTTTAAGAATACTGGATGGAAAAGGAAAGAAAGAGGAACTTTACAATGAAGAAATTCAAAAGACATCACCTCAGCCAGGTGATTAAGGTTCACATCAACAGTGACAAGTCACATTAATAGTAGGTACCCTTGTAATGTAGTGGTAATGGCTCTTCTATGATTTAGTCCTCCAAATTCACAACCCCAGTCTAACCATGAGAAGAAAATCAGGCAACTCCAAATGAGGAAGATTCTTTCAAATACTTGACCAGTATTCCTCAAAACTGTTAAGACCATCAAAAATAAAGTCTGAAAAACTTTCATAGACCAGAGGAGGTTAAGGAGATAGGATGTCTCAGTATATGTGGTATCCTAAATGGAGGAGCCCTGAAACAGAAGGAGAACACGAGGAAAACAAAAACAAAAACAAAAAAAAACTAGTAGTTCCCAAATAAAGTGGGTCTAGTTAATGGTATTATGCCAATGCTGGTTTCTTATTTGTGATAAATATATCATAAAAATGTAAGATCATAACAACAATGGAAACTGGAGGAGGGATATACAAGAATCTTTATAGAATCTTTGCAACTTTCTGAAAGTCTAAAACTAGTATAAAATTAAAACTCTATAAAAAAGAATTTAAATAATAGAATACCAGAGTTGGGTAAAACATGGTGAAAAAAAACATAAAAATTTTGAAGGACAGTGGAATTTTGTTCTCAGGTATTAAAGACTTACACACACACACATATATGTAGATAGATAGATAGGTAGATACTATGTGTGTGTGTTGTATGTGTGTTTGTGGGTATATGTATGTGTATATATGTATATATCAGTATTAAAAATAATAAATAGCAATTATTAAGTATTGATTACCTTTCAGAAAATGTGCTAAAAACATTTGATATTATCTTATTTGTTCTTCACAAAAAACATTACTTTTTTTTTTAACAGATTGTGGAACTGAGTATTAGGAAATGATATAACTTGCCTAAAAGCATACACATGATTGATTAGTGGAAAGGGAATTTGAATGCAGGTATTGAGGTTTTTATTCACTGAGCTCGGAAGCCTCAGTCATGTGAATAAATTATATTCAAGATTAAATTATTTTATGTCTAGCCATCCCCTTGGAATAATATATTAGTGCTATTTCAGATTTTTCTGTTAATATGTTGTAGATCTAAAGGTAAATCATGTTGTTCTTATCTAACTCACTCAGTCATGGCCTGGTGCTTTACCCATCTGATAAAATGCAAGCAGAGGTGCACCCTGGTCACTTCAGAGGAAATGCACCTGTGCTTGTGTACGGACACGCATGTGCACACACACATGCTCACACTACACAGCCCATATAGACCTGGTGGATTCTACGTGATCAGTCACTGACACTGTAACACTGCCATTATTAATAGTATCTGTGAAAATTACCAGCAAATCAGTTCACTCAACCAATCAGACCTTTAATGTCCTCATTCAGTTATAGGAAAGAGACAAATGGCAAATGTCAACAGGCATTGCTCTGGAAACTAAGCAGGAAAAAAAAAATCCAGCTGGAAAATTCATTTGTACATTTATCTTTTCAGCCAAATCCACACATAGAAATAAAGGATCATGTTACCTCTGCCATTGCCCTTCTTAATTAGCATTTATAGTAGCCTACATTAATAGAACAATTTCTACTTTTTAAGAGATGACATGGCAGTTTTCCTGTTAAGTATCATATAAAGATTATCTTGAGTATCCTTTAAAAAAGATTTAAATGATTTATTTGAGATTTTTTTCCTCTGTTGTGTAGTGTGATTATTCAGCATCATAGAATTAGACCATCAAAGGTGCTTAAGCTATGAATAAAGCTGCCCAAGGTTTGCAAAGATAATCACAAAATATTAGATTAAAAGTTATTTACAGACATTTGAAGATATACAGAGTCCAGAAATGAAGAACTCAGGCAGCATGTAAACAAACTGCTGCACAGAGATTTGAGTGACTGGTCCAAGTCTTCCTAGCTACCAGGGCTCCTTTGCTGCTTATTTCAAAGGTTTGGACCACAGGTTCAGACAGAAGGAAAATAGATGAAAACAGAAATAACCAGTATAACCTACATTAAATAGCCCTTGTATAATGAGATTTTCATTCTATTTTCTCAATATGGGGTATTCTTTTCTAATTTAAAATGATAAAGCAGAATGCCAGTGTCTAACTGATACTAGGTCCTTGTAATCCTCCAAAAGGAATAGAAAGCTAGTTTGCTGCATTAATACCCAGTTAAGACATTTGCCATGCTAAAATTTTTATAAGGTATAAAATATATGAACAATTATCAATAATAAATGATATTCAGTAAAGTAAATCTAAATGTCATTCTGTACAGTAAGTAAGCCTTAGTCTTATCTCCTATTTTGGTTTGTTTTTTAACAGAATGAAGCTTGAAATTATATTTACAAGCTTTTTAGTTAAAGCCAGATATCAGTCTTTTAAATGTGCAATGTAGGTAAAGTAAATGCTTAACCCCCTTGAAAAAAATTATAGGAAAACTTCCTGATCTTAAAAAATGTATTTCCTTTAAATATAATTTAATTTCTTGCAGCAAAAGTTCATTTCCAGCATTCAGCAGAATTAATCAAGCACCTAATAAAAGCTGGAGTGAATTATACTATGCAGGTAAGCCACTTTTTCAGAAGAAGGTGTTTTTCTTCCTTGGTTTTTTGCTTGTGAGATACAGAACATAGCTTTTGTATTTCTCCATCTCCCATAGTATCATTTCTTACTATATTTTTTTAGGAACCAAAAATTGTATTCTTTGCTCTTAATTACCCTGAGAATATGGATCTGCTCAGGCATTACAAGTGAATTGCATAAACCTTTTCAAAAATGTTCTATTTGCTTCAGACTTTTATTCATATCACTCCTATTGAATTATTTTAAAAGAAGAATTTTCTATTCCTTTCTTGTCTGTTTTGTCTTTTCTACACTTTCCATCACTTTTCTTACAAATAGAGACAGGGAAAAAAGTGTTTAGGGAGAAACATTACAAGAAGAGAGGAGAGGACAAAACACCATTTACATTACCTTCTCCCTCTGTACAGTCACATATTTTACACACATTCATCAAGGACTCATGCTATCACGGTCACTCTGCTAGGTGGGTGACAAGACATACTTTGGACTATCAAGAAACTTTCAGTGTGGTGGAGGAGTCATAGAAACACAAAGAAAGTGATTTTAATCTCTCAGTGTTCGGAATAACCAAAGTACTTTGACAAAGTCCCAGGGTTAGGACAATGGAAGGTGACAGAGATAAATAAATGGCAGATCATGCCATAAGCAATGTTGAAGAGAATGGGGCTTTACTCAGAGTACAATGAGGCACCATTTAAAAACTTTCCACCCAGAAATTGAAGAGATAATATTTTTATTTTAGAAAAATCAATAATGTTTTATTGGAAAGGACAATGTAAAAATAAAAATGGCACCAGGCAATGTTAAACAGGCAAGGGAGACTTTATTCAAGACTATTGCAAAAGGGCAGAGAGACTGAACTCAACTGTGGAAACGAAGAGCTCGAAAGTTTTTTAAGATCTGGGGTTGGGGGAATCATAGGCCAGATGTATTTAATAATTAGCCATATCTTCATGACTGGAGGTAATTTTAGAACATGGACCAACGCTCTTATTCGTCCGAAGAGACTGGGAGATAGAAGTGCTTCCTCCTTCAGTGTTTGCATTTCCAACAGATCGTCCCCATGTCCTTGAGAAACACATACCCTCGTTTGTAAAACAGAGGTCAGGGGCCTATAGTCAGGAAGAAACTGTCTAAAGTTTAGTCAAACTGAGGGCAGTGTTAAGGCCATCATAGTGAACATACACATGGAAACATCTACTTTATTTGGCCAACAAATCCTAATTTAAACACACAAAATATATTTTTTCTGAAATATCAATTGACATAATGATAATTTTTAAAAAAATGTAACATAAAGAACTCAGAGTTAAATTAGATGAGATTTGGATTAGATATTATTTTTCAAAGTTCCCATGCCATTAGGGCTAAAAGAATGAAAGCGGAAGGACAGTAGCTGCTTTGGTAACTTGATGTCTTCTTTCCCCTCGATACCTTAGGTCTACCCAGATGAAGGTCATAACGTGTCTGAGAAGAGCAAGTATCATCTCTACAGCACAATCCTCAGATTCTTCAGTGATTGTTTAAAGGAAGAAATATATGTGTTACCACAGGAACCAGAAGAAGATGAATAATGGACCCTATTTATACAGAACTGATGGAAATATTGAGGCTCGATGAAACCTAAGCAAGAGACTGTAATATTGTAGATGCTCCAGAATTTCAAAGGCAGCTTATGGAGATGACACTGGAACAGCACACTCAGACACTGAACTGGCATTTGAATACAGAAGTCAAAGTCTACTGTGTTGGCAAGGGTGCAGAACCTGTTTCTTTGTATAAGGAAGGTTATAGGGTTGGTTTCCTGGGAGAAATTAGTTTTGCATTAAAGTAGGAGTAGTGCATGTTTTCTTCTGTTCTCTCCTTGTTTGTTCTGTAACTAGTTGCTCTCATTTTAATTTCACTGGTCACCATCTTTGCATATAATGCACAACTTATTCTCAGACCTACAGTCCCTGATCTTTTATGGCTGAACTGCAATCTAACACTTTACTGTACCTTTACAATAAGTGCAATTCTTTCATTGTCTATTATTATGCTTAAGAAAATATTCAGTTAATAAAAGACAGAGTATTTTATGTAATTTCTGTTTTTAAAAAGGTATCATTAAGTGTGTCGAAGGACATATAGAAATATGGATTTCAGCACCTTCCAAAGTTCAGCCGGATATCAGTAGATACAATATCTTTAAATGAACACACGAGTGTATGTCTCACTATATATATATACACACACACACACGTGTGCATATACAGTCAATGAAACTATCTTTACATGTTATTCATGCTACAAAGGGTAAACTTTTGATGAATTAGAAGAAATGCTCTTTTTCCAGACTATAATGGATGCTTTGTTTAATGAGCCAAATATGATGAAACATTTTTTCCAATTCAAATTCTAGCTATTGCTTTCCTATAAATGTTTGGGTTGTGTTTGGTATTGTTTTTAGTGGTTAATAGTTTTCTAGTTGCAATTTAATTTTTTGAATATGATACCTTGTCACATGTAAATTAGATACTTAAATATTAAATTATAGTTTCTGATAAAGAAATTTTGTTAACAATGCAATGCCACTGAGTGCTATTTTGCTCTTTTGGTGGAGAAGGCTTTTTTTAAAAACACTTGGTCCTTTTACTTCTATCTCTCAGTGCAGAATCAATTCTCATTTTCATTGTAAAAGCAAAGAGCTGTATTATTTCATTTGCCAGTTTCTATTTAGTATTCCATGCCTGCCCAATTCATCTGTTACTGTTTAATTTAAATCCTTCTGGTGAGAATTAGAAATGAAATATTTTTTATTCATTGGCCAGAAACTTCACAAACAGCAGTGTTTGCTATTTAATTTGAATTGAAGGCACGAAATGCATCAATTCCTGGGCTGTGTTGACTTGCAGTAGTAAGTAACTCAGAGTATCAAATAAACTCGGCTGTATGAAGTCTATTTAAGTCATGAGAACATTAACTTTGGTGACTTAAGTCAAAGTGTACCTTCTCACTTCACTTAAGGAATCTTCCAGAAGATATCTAAAAGTCTGTATCCAAGCTTTGAAGTCCAGATAAATCTAGGCAGTATACTGTGTTTTTGTGGCTTTAAAAGAAGTCCTTAGGACAAACTGGATTATCATGACATCAGGACACCAGGAGGAAATTTTAAAATGTCAAGGAATCACTTAGTCACTCTTCTGTTTTGTTGAAGGATCAGCCCAGAATTCTGGGTATTTGGAAACATGTAAATTATTGATTGTGATTCCACTTTTCTTCTGGATACTTTGGAATTGTGTCTTCACTGCTCCATTGGATTCAATTTAAAATGGAAAAGTCTTTCTCTTCTGAAGGACCCATTTTAGGTCTTTTTCAAGAATAGTAAACACATTTTTTAACAAAATAAGTTGTACTTTTAAAAGGAAAGTTTTGCCTATTTTATTAAGATGGAAATTTTCTTTTTAGGCTGATTTGAAGTCCAACTGAAGCTTTTTAATCAATATTTTAAATTTGAACCACTAGAGTTTTTTATGATGCAAATTATTATGTTGTCTGAAAGATGTGGTTTTATTGAATGTCTATTTGAGTAACATTTAAAAAGTATTTACCTTTTACTGTTCTTCCTTTCTCCTGTTTTATTATTATTCTCAATGTTTATCTATTTTTCAATTAATTTAATACAATTTCTAATGTGAAAGACATTTGTCTGGAACCCACTTTCACCTTAAAGGCTAAATAGACCTCAAATGCAAACATATTGTTTAGCAGGAAGGTGGACAATTTTCACCTCTGTGGTTGTTTTAATGACTGGGCCATTTTTGATAAAGGAAATGCTCACCAACACGTAGTCACCATTTATTTAAAAAATCATGTAACTGGATATTTCCTTTTAAATATTTGCCCCTGGTCATAATCTCACCATTTCACACATAATTATGCATTTCTAGAATTTCCTAAGACTCCAACAGCAAGCTCTCCAAGTGTAATTTTTCCCGTAATGTTAAGGAAAAAATTAAGATAATACATTAAAATTTTATAATAAAACAGGTAAGCAATATTAAATCATCCACAGAGATAAACACATAATTTTTTTTCGAAGTGTTTTGAAAGAGAAAAGTGTTTTTTCATTTTCATTGACTCCATTAAGAAGGTCTTCGACTTATCAGTTAAAGAGTCAGAAGGCTACGTGGATCTATTTGAGTTTCTTGGTAGAGGTGAGAAAATGGAATATTTTAAAACATGAATCTTCGCTCACCCTGAAAATGTGTTTTTTTTAAAACTTAGTTTTTAGCATAGAAATCACTACTGAGGGGGCTTGCAGATGCCAGTTGTAGATCTACTAGAATGAGGTGACTTCAACATTGGGCTTTACTATATAGAGCATTATTTAAGCCTGCAATCCTCAAACCCCCTACCAGGCCACACAGCAGGAGGTGAGCAAGAGAACCTTCATCAGTATTTACAGCCATTCCACATTGCTCACATCACCACATAAGCTCACCTCTTGGCAGATCTGCAGCAACATTAGATTCCCATAGGAGCATGAACCCTGCTGCACACTACACATGAAGGGTCTAGGTTCCATGCTCCTAATGAGAAGCTAATGCCTGATGATCTGAGGTGGAGCTGAGGCGGTGATGCTAGCGCTGGGGAGCAGCTGCAAATACAGATTATCACTGGCATAGAAGTTTGACTGCACAATTAATGTAATGCACTTGAATCATCCTGAAACCATCCCCCCTCCACCCCTGTCCATAGAAAATTGCCTTCCCTTAAACTGGTCCCTGGTGCCAAAAAGGTTGAGGACCACTGATTTAAGCCATTGTCCTTCAGATGGTTGGCTCTGTAACAGAAGTACCTGGGACTGAATTGCTCTCAAGTCTCTAGGGTCATTGACAGCACATGAGTTCTGTAAATAATCACGTGTGAAATACTTCTTTTTTCTCTCCTCACACTCTCTGCCCACCATCACCTCCCGCAGCAACTAGCAGGGCATCAGCATCATCGCACCTCTCAGCTGTGCTCTCTATCTTTCACTTTCTGTTCTTAGGATTCTCTAATGCTATTGTTAGCTACCTGCTAGAACCAGCAGACCAACACTTACACAGTACAAACCTACCTGAGGGTGTTAATACCCCGCTGAAATCCATATAATGGAAGATAGTAGCAGGTAAGAATGCTTCCCTCAGATATTTTCCACGGTCCTTGGAAGGCTTCATGGGCCCAGGTTCCTACAGCTGCATGCCCTTCTATTTCCCTCTTCCCCACTTCACTCTTGCCAGCCCTCCACTCTTGTTCCTTAGGATCACTTTCCAAAATAAACTGCACATGAGCCAGCTATTGACTCATGAATCTACTCTCTGGGGAAAACTTTTTCCCAGGCAACAGCTTATCACTGTGAATATTATAGAAAAAGAAATAAAATGAGATTAAAGAAGTGGTTTCTTCTTAGATTTGAAAAAGCTGTTTCTATCTAAAATTTATTGTATTCTTACTAAGTGCCCAAGTATGTGCTAAATGCTCTGTATGTGTTGCCCAACTGAATTTTCTCAACATGGCCTGAAATAGGTATTATGACTCCGATTTTACAGAAATTGAGTCTCAGAGAAGTATGTAGCTCGACCAAATTTATGTAACTAATAATAGGTAAATACGCTAAAAGCCAATTTCAGCCAACTTAGAAGTCCACATTCTCAGTCATGCTGCTCTACACAACTACTGAGATAAGTAGAGATTTAACACATGTTCACCCCATTCAGGATTCTGAATATTTAAACATATAGTTCCAGAAATTTTTGAGAATAATTTGATAGAAATAATACTGAAAGGTAAAAGACAGACCAATGTACCACTGTGGCATGTTTGAAGTTACATGAATTCCCTAATGTCAAGATGACATATGTAATATTAAAACATGTTTTCTTTTTCTGTTGGAGATATGTAAGAGTCATTCCTATGGTTGGAAATCCTTGCTCAGAAGATCATGACTATATGCTTGCAAGTCATTAGTAAATCCCATTGCTCAGGCATTAGACATTCCAACATCATTCCAAAAGGCACCCGTATACTGCAGAAACAGTATCTCAATCAAAACACTCAGGCATGAAACATGAAAACCTCATCTAATCATCAAACACTACAAAATCCAGAAAGCACATTGCAACATTTAGAGTCATAGGAGGCACCCACAATCCTATTTGCAATCTGACTTTGCATCGCCTCCCACTTTTCTACCACTATGGAAATAGATTTGGTTTACCATTGGTCAGATCTCATAAGAACACTTTTATTTCATTTGGCAATAGTCCAGCAGTTCTTGAAGAGAAAGTCTGTGGATTCCAATAACCCTCTACCATCACACACAAGCCAGATAGGTTTTAAAAAGGAAAAAAGTCACAACAAAGTACAATTTTGATTATCTTTTCTTTTAGACTCATAATTAAGTTTATGATTGTCTAATACAAACATCACAGACTTTTGATACACTGATTGAGTTACTAAGAATGCTCTCTGTACTGATTACTACAACCTGTCTGTTTCTATCATCCCTCCACAATTTTAACTAAGTTATCTTTGATATAAGTGAAACTTGAGAATTCAGAATTCCATCCTGCCAATAGAATCATAGAAAAGGAACTCTCATCTGTTCTACATCGAGACTTTTTGTCACATAACACCAACTAATCCTCAGACCAACCATGTGTGATAGAAGATACTGTTCTCTACTGAAAAAAATCAAGATTCAGAGAGATTATAATTTTCCAACAGAGCATGTAAATGATAGAACCAGGATTTGAAATCAGATCAGAATGACCTCAAAGGCATCACAGGCAATAATCATATTTATGCACTTAATAGCTGGAGAATTGCTAAAATTCATCTTGCCATGTTTTTAGTTTAAATTCAACTTTCAAGTCCCTCACAGTTCCGAGTTGTTATTTTGCATGTTTCTGGCTGCAAGAAACTGAATACAAAATTTGAACTTTTCACTCAATATGTGTGAAAAGTGGACATTACCTGGGAGTTTGTTATATAGGGCAACTCTCAGGCATTTCCTTGGTCCTCCTGAATCAGAATCTGGACGCTAACAAGATCCCCATGTGAATAACAGGCACATTGAAATATGATAAACACTAGCTTCAATGCTAAAATTTTAATTAATCTCATCACAAGACAGCTAAAGTTGGGTGTTTCTGGGGACAGTTTAACAGATCAATGATGGACTCAAATCCCAGTTTCCTCCCTCCTTTCTACTGCTTTAATCTGTTGTTTGTCCCAGCAATGTCTTCAGATAACTGCAGCTGCCCCAGGCAACACAGAGAAGCTTCTAAGGACCGAGAGTCAGAGGGTGACTCTCTTCATGTTTATCTTTTATCAGGAAATAATAATTTTCTCCGGAAGTCTTAAGGAGAATGTCCCTCAGGTCCCTTTGTACTGTGCAGGCTTTGATTGTAAGCCTCCCTCCTTAGGGAGGCTAGAAAGTTATATGTCTGAAACTACGATCTCTTTAGTGGGGATCAAAGAAGGAAAAAGTGTAGGAGGATGAATGTAAGATGGATGCACAATATATGGCACAGAAGAGGCAGGTATAGCCTACCCATGGCAATAGGATCCTGCATGTATGCATGTGTCATCTAGTGGCATACCTCAAGATATCAAGCAGTGAGGGCTGAGTGTTTTAAACAGACCCAATTCTCCTCCCAGAAACCCTGAACGTCTGCGTTATCCTCTCTTCTGAGAGTTAGTTAGTACCCACTCTTCCCTAGTCGACATTTTCTATGTTCACCTCTGGTCTTCATCGTTGACACGTTTTGCAGTGCAGGCAGGCACTTCTGGAATTTGATTGCTGTGCTAGCAGCCCCATTTTGTAGGCTTTATTTGCTCTAACACGATTTATGATGCCTTGATTATCTCCGTATGGCCTGAATTGCTAGGCACACCATTAATTCTCCTGATTGATGGATTGTGTAAGGCATACACCAATGGAAAAAGACAAGACCTGACAGGGAAACACAGGTAACACAGCCTCCCCGTCCATATGCACTTTTAATGGATGTAATTCTCATTACACTCCAGCTCTCTATACTTTAGGACATCATGTGTAACTTTTAATGATCTGTATGGTGTAATTGGATTTCAAGCCCTTGGGGAGAACAAATTGCAAATTCCTTTGCTCGGATAAATGGAAAATGTTAACTTCAAGGTTGACTTCAAATCATGGAATAACACAAAAATATTCTGCACCTACTATGTGCCAAGTACTATGCTGTATGATACAGCATTCAGATGCTTTTCAAACACTTAACCTAATAAACACATCTAAAGTATAGACACATGTTTTACTCCAAATGTTATAGCTAAATGGGCCATGATTTACTAAATAGTATCAACATATTCAATTATTTTTTGCTTTCATTCAACCACTGGTAATTCTTGCCTAGTTGAATATACTATTCCCTTGTACCTACCCCCTTTGAATAAATATAATAAATCTACTTATTTTAACTAAGGCAAAAGGGCTTCATAGCCCACCATTACATTGAAATCAGTTGGTCTATATGCAGCTTCCCATCCCACTCTCTATTTTAGAGAAATTTATAGTAAAGCCCTGACATTTTCTGAGAATTATTTTTTAGTTCAAATCACCTATGGCAGAGGGACATTGATTAAACATGCTTTGTTTTGTTATTTTGTGATGTGTTGGTTTATTTTAACTGAACTTGTCAATGGTGGGAAAAAAATCCACATCTCATGGGAAAATTAATATTTCCAGAAAGTAAAATAAAAATAAATAAATGAATGAAATGCCCTGCTGCCGCCAGCCCCAGACCTGACTTTGGGTCTCAGTTGTGTCTCTACTCAGCTTGGATTGAGAACCAGCCTTTTTCTTTGTGCTTTCCTGACCTTCCTTCATTGTGCTTTCCTCATTCCTCCAACCCAGGAAACCATATAATTAGTTTTTCTTTTGTCTCGACTTGATAGGTATCAGTGAAGGGAGTTAAAATGTTTGATATTTAAAATTATATTTTTAACTTCATCTGGACTCCATACAATATGTTAAAATTTTCTTTAATTCATCATTATTCACTTTTCTATCAAATTCTAGTACATCTTTCTAAATTATTTTCAATTATTCTCAAGTCCCAAATCCCCCTACCTCATTATTCTATTTCATTGCATATAATGCCTCATATATATGCACTTTTTAATATGTATATTTATATTATACCCTACTTGGTTTGTACTTTGCTAGGGAAATAAGATTATAAGAATAAGAAGAGCTAACATTCACTAGTTGCTTAATTTGTACCAGCTCTTAGGATACGTTCATGAATAGACTTATTTAACCTTTAAAACAGTTACTAGTTAAGGATGATCACTATCCCAAGTTTTACATGAGAAAACTGCAAACTTAACAAATTTAAATAAGTTATGAAGGGCCAGTGGATTAGTCTCAGTAAGACACCCTAGTTAGTGCAACAAAAGAAAGAAAAAAACAAATTTCAGTATATTAAGAAAATAAAGCTTTATTTCTCACTCACATGATGTTACATATGGGCAGGTGAGAGCTATTTTACATGTGCCATCTGGAGCATGTGGCCTCCATGCAGTAACCTCAAGGGCAGAGAAGGTTGAAGGAGACACATAATGCCAGCTTTCCATTGCCATCTCTCTGAAGTGACACATATCACATCTGCTTGTAGTCTATTATTCAGGACAGCTCTCAGAGTCCCAACCTAACAGCAAAAGGGTTGGAAAATGCAGGGGAACAAATGGAGAATTTAGTGAGCACTAGCTGTCACTGTCACAGTCCACCATCTGGACATCAGATATTTTACTTGCTCCTGCAATTCCGTTATATATAAAGCACAATCAGCTCCAACCCCCAAAACATAACCCCAATCCCTCTAGCTCAAAGCCCAGGATTTCTGGGTGTTGTAAAGTAGTCTTTATAGTAAGTCCATATAAAACATCTTTTGGGCTGAAGAACTTTGAACTTTAAAACTATTTTATGTCCTCCAGGCTCCTTATACACAACAGCGGAATAAGGATGAAATAATCAAAATAAATAGTGCCATTGGAGAGGGAATGAATGGGTAAGTCTGCCTTAGGGAACAACGCAACCGTTGTAACCCACCTCTTACCTATAGACAGATGGGGACCCAAAAATCTTCTTAAACCTTAAACAAATGCTATTTCATATGGGCTCACATATATTTAATGTTGAAAAATTAGTAAGTATCTTATTTACTTAACTTTCAATCAGGTCTAAAGCCAGAAATTTATTTTATAAAGAAAAGAAATTTATTTCATATAGTTCTGGAGGCTGGGAAGTCCAATATCAAAGGGCGAGCATCTGGCTGGCTTCTGGTGAGAGCCTCATGCTGCCTCTTACCCAAGACATCAGAGGGCCAGAGGGGAGCAGCAGAGCCAAGCTGGCTGTTACAACAGACACTCTCCTGTCATAACCCATTAATCCATTCACCCATTCATCCATGAATGGGTGAGTTCATTTGTGAGGGAAGAGCCCTCCCAACCCAATCGCCTCTTAAAGGGCCCACCTCTTACTTAGGTTACATTGGGGATTAAATTGCAACATGAGTTTTGGAGGATACAAACATTCAAACCATAGCATGCATTATTTTAAAATCTGCACTATCTTTTGAAGGATAGGGTGTGAGACCTTCTTTAACTATCCCTCAATATATTAAGAGCCAATTTAAGACTATTGGTATCCATAAAAAGGAAAAAAATCATACCCTCAATCTCATCTCTACCTTCATCTCCTATTCAAAGGAATGATTTTACCAGGACTTTGTGGTCTGAGCTTTATTTATTCATGTCATTTTCTGTTTATAATCAATAAATGTGACAGTATGAACCTTGAAAAGACTCAAATATCTAGACTCTCTCTATGACATTTTCTTACATTTATT